TGCATGTTTTTGCCACGACACGAAATATTAAAATCATCCACAAAGAGCGATCCATCAATCGAATCATTTAAAACTTTGGACAAACTATTTATCTTAATACTAAACAATGTGACAGACAAGATGCTACCTTGTGGGACACCCTGATCCTGATAATAATGATCAGACAGGGTAGAACCCACGCGGACCTGAAAGTGCCTGTCAGTTAAAAATTCAGATATAAATTGAGGCAAACGGCCTCGTAATCCAAAGTCATGTAAATCTTTTAAAATACCATGTTTCCATGTAGTGTCATATGCTTTTTCTAGATCGAAAAAGATAGACACTGCATGTTGTTTATTTATTATTGCATTTTTTACAAATGATTCTAAGCGAACCAAATGGTCGATGGTACTTCTGTTTTTCCGGAAACCACATTGTATATTAGTAATAAGATTATTGGATTCCAGGTACCATACGAGACGATTGTTTATCATGCGTTCCATGGTTTTGCAAACGCAGCTTGTCAATGATATTGGTCGGTAATTTGATGGGTCAGTATGATCTCGACCGGGCTTGGGTATCGGGACAACAATAGCATCACGCCACGAAGGAGGGAACTTCCCTGAGGTCCAAATGACATCAAAAATATTCAATAGTGTTTCTAAGGAAGATTCGGGTAAGTGCTTCAGGAGTTGATAATGTATGTTATCAGCTCCTGTAGCAGTATCGTGAGCTTGTTCAAGGGCAGTATGGAGTTCATGAATAGAGAATAGTTCATTATAATCTTCCCCATTATCTGAATTAAAATTAATAGGTTTCTTTTCTTGCTGTTTTTGATACTTTTGGAATTGAGGTACATAGTTTAATGAGGAAGAGTGTTTTGCCAAAGTTTCACCAATTTTATTAGCAATATCTGATTTATGAGTTAGGAGTTGGTCCCCATCTTTAAGATGGTGAATACTAGATTTAGTGCCCTTACCTTTGATTTTTTGGACCATGTTCCATACCTTGGACATGGGCGTCCGAGAATTTATTTTTGACACATAATGTCGCCAAGATTGGCGTTTACTTTGTTTAAATGTTCGCCTTGCCTTAGCATTTAATATTTTAAATTTGTTTAAGTTATGGACCATAGGATGGCGACGGAAATAACGCTCAGCCTTTTTCCTCGCCTTCCTAGCTTGCTTGCAGTCATCGGTAAACCATGGTTTACGTATGTGGGGAATTCCAGAGGACTTAGGAACACATTTTTCAGCTATATTGATAAGTTCATCAGAAAAACATTGTATTGAGTCAGTAACGTCAGTGAAATGATCAGGTGTTAGTTTTTCTGTACAGAGAATGGCATATAGAGGCCAGTTGGCTTTTGTAAAGTTCCATCGAGATGATGGAGGAACATCAGATGGGGTAATAGGATTTAATATGGTTGGAAAGTGGTCACTTCCACAGAGGTCATCGTGGACCAGCCACTCAAATTCATTCAACAGTTTTGAATCAGTAATAGACAAATCCAAAGAAGAGTAAGTGCCTGTACCAGGATGTAAATATGTGTTGGAATTATCGTTAAAAAGGCATGGATTATTGTTGGAAATAAAATCTTCTAAGAGCTTGCCTTTACTACTTGTACGATCACTACCCCAAAGTGGATTATGACCGTTCATATCGCCCATGATAATACAGGGCTTAGGAAGCTGGTCATAGAGAGCTTGAAGATCGGTTTGCTGAAGAGATGTAGATGGAGGAATGTAAAGAGAGCACAGAGTAAAAACAATGTGCATAGTGATACGAACTGCGGTAGCTTGTAGAGGGGTATTGAGAGGAACAGGGCTATGAATAACACCCTGCCTCACCAAGATTGAAGAACCTCCAGTGGCTTTAGCCCCTGGAGGTGAAAAGAAATGATAGGAGTCGTAGTGTCTAATGTTTAGTTGATCAGTAGTTTTAAAGTACGTTTCCTGCAAACAAAAGGCTGATGGCTTGAAATCTTGTGTTAATAGCTGCAAATCATTAAAATTGTTTTTTAGTCCCCTGCAATTCCATTGTATTATCAGGTTAGAACAGGTCATGGTGGTTCTACTGGGGTTCTGGAGCGGGAGGGAGGTCCACTCCCATGGCCTGTTGGAGAAGGAGTGACCTCCATCGCCAAAGGTTCAAATTGATTTTGAACCTTAACAGGTGTAGGCTCAGAAGAAGGCACCTCCAAGTGTTGGAGGGCCCTGGCCGTTTTTTTCAGTTTCTTTTTTTCAGTTTTAGTTAAAGGTATGTCTTCAATAATTGTAGATGATTTTGGGTCTGTTCTGCTGGATTCCACTAGCTCCGTCTGTGAAGCTGAAGTTGCTCGTGTTGTTGCACTTGAAGATGTTTGAGCTGTATTGTCCTGTAGCATCTGCTGATTACAAACCCAAGAGATGGTTGTTTGGCATCCTACAGATACTGTTGTAGCCTTGACAACAGGAGTGACAGTTGCTGCTGCTGAGTATGATTTTGTTGAGTTATTCGGAGATTGTGACTGAACTAGCTTTTTAGCATCATAAAAAGAGATATTGTTGGTGTGTTTAATTTTTAGTATTTGAGATTGAAGGTGAAAGTGTGGACAATTTTTGGATGAGGCCAAGTGGTCCCCATCGCAATTTGCACACTTAATGGCATCAGTGCACTCAGTGTTCTCATGAGAGCCACTGCAGCGCACACAGACAGTTCTGAGAGTACAGGTCTTGGCACCATGTCCAAAATGTTGACATTTATAACATCGGAGTGGGTTTGGAACATAAACTTCCACTCCGATATTAAAGTACCCAGCTTTGATAGATTTTGGAATTGTTGAAAGGGAAAAAGTAAAAAGATAGGTGTTTGTCTGGATGATGTTATTATCCTGTTTTCTGGTGAAACGCTTGACAGCTGTAACACCTTGTTTGGTTAGTTCGGTCACAATCTCATCTTCGTTCATGTCAGCTAAACATCGGGCTCTGTCTCTCACGATGCCTCGACACGAGTTCAATGTTCTATGTGCTGAAACAGCAACCTCTACATTTGCAAACTGGCTGATGGACAAAAGGTTTAGAGATTGCTGTTTCCTGGCACATTCCACAAGAATGGAGCCATTACGGAGGCGGGTAACATTGTCAACCGTACCACAACAACCATTGATGGCCTTAGAAATAGCAAATGGGTTCAATTTCAAAGGCTGATGATCAGAAGCCTCGATTACAATGAACCGAGCCCAGGAATCTAATTGCAGATCAGTTTCGTCATCAGATGAGCTAGCATCTAGATGTTTTCTTTTCGAACCAGAGTGTTTTTTTGACATAATGAAAGGAAGTGGTTCTGCACCCCTGCTCCCCACCCACCAGCGAGTGTCAACAAGGACAGTGTCTTATTGCATTGGATATCCAAAATGCAAACACCAGGGCTACAGGGGTGTTATACTCCAGCAAATATGACATAAATAGCTATATTTGTCTACTAAATTTATTGCCAAGCTGGTTCTGCGAATAACAATAATTTAGAGACATACAGAATTCAGCGGTCAACATTACCAGATTGGCCCATGAGCCACCGCCTTCTGGCGTAAGACTCTAGGCAATTTATTTCATCCAAAAGTGTTAATTCATACAAAGTATGCATGGCCAAGACCAAAATACACATTATAATACAACACAGGTGTGCATACACAATATTACGCACAGGGCCCGGCATGACCAGCCGATTGATAAGACCGGGCCCATCTTACCACCCGTCTAGGCGAAGTAAGGGTCGAAGTAGTGTGTTGGGCAAAGGAACACAGTTCCAGGAACCAGTGCCCTCAACTACCAGACTCCCGTCCTCCGCCGACACAGGGACGCAGCCCACGGCAAACAGGTTGCCCATTTTAGTCGCCTCATACGACCAGCAATGGGAGGCTGTGGAAATATTCTGCCCCGGTTCCACACGGGGGAAGAGCGATTAGCATTACCCAGCACTCACCACGAGGAGGTTGCTCTTCACGAGTGCCCGCCTTAGTTGAAACCGGAAAAGTGTTGGATGCCCGCAGGTTTCTGGTGTTTTGAGTTAGGTATTCCTTCTGCACTGTGCAAGTAGATGCATGTCGTTAAAGGCCTCAAATCGCCCGCATCATGCCGGCCAGACTTTTAGAATATGTCTCGTCACAAAACCCCTCGAACTTTCAAGTGCTGTCCTCAACAACTAATCACATTTCCGGGTACATCTTCACTGCAGCTGTTGATATTATATGAGCGCCTCAGTCGTTTGCTGCAACTGACAATGCCCAGGAATTAACCAACAACAATCTCTACTGCCACAAAACACTATGATTAATATGTGTCTATGCATTTCTTACATAAGCCTTTTGTGACTATTTCTTAATTTTCAGGTTTGCATTTTTGTCCAGAGTGTTTTATTTTCTTCTTTAATTTATTAAGTAAAAAGTATTGATCTGTCATCTATTGGCTGTTACCCTTTTACCTATATTTCACAAAATGTGAAACAAGAATTAAATTTCGAGCACAGTCTTTTTTCAAACTGTGTTTGCCTGATTAGTACAACAATTGGAAGCACACCAAACAACTGGTGTTTCAAAATATATATCCATGTTTTCTTTATTTTACGCCACCAACAACATTATTAAGCTTAATTTTAACATTTTAGTTTTAGATGACATCCGTCCCCATGTAGTTTCAAATAACATTCCCTAGAGCGTCAAACGACTCTTGCTCAAAAGTTGTTTAATCAAGGTAACAGCTTTCAGAGTGAATGAAACATTTGATAACGATTAATAAGCACAGGGTTATTGGATCCGCCCATCACGCAGCCTGTGAAATATGGAGGTAAACAACCGTCTTATGTCTTCTTTGAAACAGGAGATTTGTTTTGGAAAACCTTTTGTTCCGTAAATGTCAGCTATTCATTGGTTTGCTCAGTTTGCTATGTTTTTTGTCTAACATATTTCAACACACGCCTACATTTTAAAAACACAAACATCATGGCGTTTCTGAAAAAAACGTTTATTAAAACGTTGAGGAAAACAGAATGCTGGTTCAATTATCCGATAATGGGACCATGGCTTTGTGGGCGGCATGCCGCTATGTTGGCGTCGGGAATAACGATGAACCCAAATCCAGGTGCTCTCATTGTCCCAGTTCCCAAAGTTTTTGGTGTCATGTGTGGTATGTGGTTGTGGACAAGTTCCAGTGTCTTGCCATTGAGCTGTACTTTTCTGGAAAAAATAAATCAAAACTGTTTTATTTGTCAGCACATTATGCATTGATCATATTTCTGTTCTTTCAGTCGCCGCGATTCGCTGTGCAGAGTTGCGTCTCTTGGGCACGCAAGAAACCTGTGATTGTGGGTTCGAATCCCGATTTCTAGGTTTGTCAGCACCATACACATGCTCGTCGGTTTCACCAAAGTGGCAAACGTCTGAGACCTGCATCACTTCGGGCTTCCCTCCCACATTAAGCTGACACACCGTTATATAACTGGAATACTGTTAAAAGCGGCGTTAAACCCAACTCACTCACTCACTCATATCGTACTCCAAAGCCTAGCCAAGGGGAAGTTGCACATTATATCAATTATTTGTTTCATATGGACCTGCAGTTTGTCCTGTCTCCATGGTGTGTGTGTGTGCTCAGATAAACTTCAGCAACTCAACATACACTCACCCATGTGGTTTAAACATATGTATTTTCACAAAAATGTGAAAATGGATTGGAAAACAAGGGAAGCGCTTATGTTTATACCGCTCCATTACACATAGGACATATTACAATAAATACTTCAATGAAGGTTAGATGTAACAAATGAATTGTACATGTCAAGCTGGATGTGTATATACAAGTCTATTTGCAGTTTATATTAAGCAATTCATTTAACTGAACAGTTTTTAATATGACGTTTTGAAAAGAATCTAATATCAGAATTTGCTCTCCCTTATTCAAATACGAATTTCCGCATAGCACTGTTTGTAAAAAAAAACAATGTTGGTAAAAATACATTTCATTTCGAAGAACATAGTAATGTGTACACACAAAAAGTAAGTGTAAAGTATCTTCGGTATGATATCCATAGGGACAAGTTTTTGTGTCAAAGATATATCTATCATACTGATTTGCGATAAGATCGCTGCAGCCAAGCCTGAGGCGACTGTGAATAATTTGACATAATCTGCTTCCATACTTTAAATCCCAGTGTATACCATTATCTCCCATTACGTGAAGCAAATTCTTAAATTGTGTAACGGCCCCCGTCAGGTTTTCTGGTAACATCTTCCAAAGTTGTGTTGTAACTGGTATAAATGCATCTGTATAAGCTTTTGTTTTTTACACTTCGCTGTTTGAAGATTAGTTTTATCCCTTCAGTCATAATTTGTGTTTTCCGAAACTGTATTAGGAATAAGTCTACAAAGATATTCCGGGGAGAAATGGTTATTCATTTTGTAAAATATAACCACTTTTGAACTGTATCTTCTGTCTTTTAATTACTTTCATTGTAAATCTCCTGATGACTCGTACTTTTGACAGCGCCAAATATGGTTCTGAGAGCATGTACTTTTTCCAATACGTAAGCTTGTTCATTGGTACAGTTGTAACAATAATAAAAAATTGGTAAATTAAATGATTTGTACATAGTTTCTAAGGTAGTTCGTAATAGACGATATTTATAACTTCTTAAACAATTAACCAGAGGATAACATTTCCTAACAATATCATCAATGTGCATTTTCCATGTACAATTGCTTTGTAAAGTAATACCAATGTGCTTATGACTTTGCACATCATCGATTTGTGTACCTTTCATATATAAATTAGGTTTGCGACTTGGGTTTACTTTAAGGGTAAATTGAATAGATTAAGATTTGTCGGGACTAAATGTAACTTGCCATCTAGCAGCCCATTCCGAAATTCTGTCCAAGTCATTATTTAGACCATGAGCAGCTATACCAGGATCTCCTATGATCACATACAAAGATGTGTCATCAGCAAATGGTCTTATATTACTCACCTATGTCTGTGCCTCTTATCATTATCCTCGGCATTTGACAACATTCACAAAGAAATATTTTCTGACTGATGAGTTTGTGATACTTGAAAAATCATTAAGCTAAATGGTTGAAAGAAAACAAATTATATACAAACTGTGATTTCAAATCTCCTCCCTCTGGAGTCAGCCAGAATATGTCCACGCTTTTGATGTTGAGATCCGATATGGTAAGGATTACGGGGTCACTATTTAGGTTAAGGGCATACACTGTTATACTGCCAGGCATGTAGTTGTACACGCTGAAACATAACCGATGATGTCATAACAAATGTCAGTATATATGATTTTTAACATTACGTTCGTGAATTCCAGTTATTTGTTTTGCCAGCCGCTGTTTTGTTTACCGTCCATGCAAATGACGGACATGACGTCATTTTGTGTGATCTGACGTCATTTGTTTGTTAGGTCACAATCGCTCTGTTCACTTGCATAGTCACTATACGTAGATTCTGCTGGCAACCACAGGATTGTCACATGAAATAAAAACATTACATGGAAAAAGGGCTTTGTGGCTTGTGAACTCGAATGAAATGTATTCAGGACATATGCATATCCAAGAAATCTAGCCATTTGATTTGCCAAATTGCCATTTTGTGAACTTTCTGTACAATTCAGTTGGCGACATGTAAGGATATCATAAGAGTCAATGAGCTGAGAGCTTTTTGCAAAGGTGTAATTGTGTTGTTAATTTCAATGTTTGTGTCCATCTTAACTTTGATATAATGTTGTTGTTGTTGTGTTAAACATACATTTATTGCATGTAGAACATTCACACAATTAGATGAAATGCGTACCAGATCTATGAAGTTTACCTTGAATATTTTGGAATGTTGACTTTGTTTGAAAAGTATTTTGAAGTAGTGCTACGGAGGAGTTAGAATATTGCTTTTCTGGGATCATCATTATTTGTCTCTGAAAAACCAAATAGTACATTTACTTTAATTAAATGTATCCATGTCTTCCAAGCATGTCCATGCACTACTTTTCAGTGGAGGTACGGGTCTCGTGTAGGGCACGACAATTCTCTGTGCAGAGTTTCATCCCTTGGTCTCGCAATAAACCAATGATCGTGGGTTCAAATCCCGAATTCACCCCAATTTGTTTCTAGGTTTGTCAGGGCTATACCGGTGCTCGTGGGTTTCACAAGAGGTTTTAAACCTGCATCACTTTGTGCTTTGCTTCCATACCATAACACGCCGTGATATAACTTGAATAGTGTTCAAATTCGGCGTTGAACTGAACTCGATCACTCACTCTAATTCCTTGCTATAATGTTGGTTGTGTCTGTGATTTCTACTGTGATGTCATGGGTATTTCGTAAATTGTTTGAAGGTTGGAAAATGTCTGTGTGCAATTTAGGTGAACGCTTGCTAGTAAACTATTTCAAGAGGTTTAGAATAAAGTGTGTGACTAAACAACTCACTTGTTAAGGTTCGTGCAGTGGGCATACAGACGGAGGTTGTTAGATGAAGATGGAACATCAAATACCTTGTTGCCAACAAGTCTCTTGTAAAGAAGCGTCAACCAGTAGTCCTGTCAAAAGGCATTATGGTGTGCGTCACTATAAGAGAGGCAATGTTGTACTTTAAGCTGTCAAATGTGTCTTGACATGTAAACCAGCAGTTGATGCTGTGATAGGATGATGCAAGTCAAACAGCCTGCTCACCCAAAACCCAATGCAGTCGGCCTTTGCACACAGTAGGTGCAGTTGAATTTTTATGATGCGGAATTCCGACAACGGAGCACCGACACAATGACATTGGCGATCGTTAACGTGACCTAAGGACATGTTTACAGTACATACGTATACTCACGGGGGTAGGGTCGTTGTTATTGTCAATAAGTGAATAATGCCCTCCGAAGAGTGACTGGCGAAGGACTCTTTTTAAGCCGTATTTTGCTGATACACCAAGTTTATCAAGCCACCTGGAATAAGGATATGACAGTCAACATTTTTATATTACATACACACACAGTGATCCTTTCAAAACATGCCACTTTTTGCATCATAATAAAACGAAATATAATTGTTTACAGTGAGTGAGTGAGTGAGTGAGTGAGTGAGTGAGTCAAGATTTAACGTCACATCGGCAATATTTCAGCCATATAGAATTGTTTTGCAGAGGCGCTTCAGACATCAGCAGCAGCGTCATGTAATACCCGTGTAAACGTGAACTTCTACACGTCAAATCGACACGATTTACAATTATTTTTCATTATTTCGAGTTTCAACGGACATAAGAACACCAATCATTACCACCTATCAAGCATAAATTGACAATCTGCATCTACATCAACGTATGCTTGCACTCCCTCGAAGATGTTCCCGCTGACATCCGTATGCTGTATTCGATCTTTGATAGTTTTGTGTGAGCCAGAAAAAGTTTCAATCGAAATCAGAAAGAAATATAACTCGAAAATCAGTAGGATAACTAAAATGCTCACAGATTGCCAGCCACATATCTGTTGCCTATGCCAGGTGTGCCACCCCCATAGCCGGACGATGTCTCTCCTAACCACGCCACCAGACCATTATAGCTTCGGATCGTACTCATCACTGTCTGTAGTTCAGGTATAAGATGATCCATTATAGAATAGTTAGAAAAGTCTTTCAGTTTGGCGGTGTGTCCATCAAAGTAGTAACTGAAAAGATTAATAATTCATACAGCAAATCTCCACCGCGTTTCTGTACATGCAACAATCAGCTGTACAAATGCTCATTTCTGTCTTCATCCCTCTCATTATTTAGTCATTAACACATTCCTGTTCTTGATGATATAGAAGTTACACAGAGTGATCAATTTAATCTTTTCAATCCATCTTCCTAGAATTCTACCAACATGTACAGCAGTTACTATCCCATTGCTACCTCTACCTATTATTTCGGAATATATATGTTGTCATCTGCAATGTGCTGACTATGTAAGTTGACCCTCAATTGTTACACGTGACATTGAAACTGTATTGTAGTCAATGTCCCTGAAGTCCCTGAAGTACACTCACTGATTGATGGTCAATACGTCTATGACACTGGCTCCACCATGGGACAGGAAGCTGGAAATGCACGGCCACATTGGAGAGTTGGTATGGACAAAGAAAGTACTTTAGCATTGCCGTCGTTAGCATTTGTGCAAATAGCACATCTGATGTGTGATGTTTTTTCTAACATAGAGAATGCTAATAAGAGTACAAACTAGTCATAGATATGGCAACAACAAGATTAACAACAACAATCTAGCCCTGATCACCATGCAGCTTATTCCCTCGTTGTACAGGGTGTGCAACGTGGATTTGGTACACACGTTTTAATGTACTTGTCTTTATAACCGGCTATGTCAGGTCCAAGGATGAGACTGTCCTTATAGGCCGTTCCTTGAAGGACTTGTTTTAGTTCCTTGTAGTCGCTTCCCAGCTGAACATCACTGACAGTAGTATTCCAGTGACGATAGTACAAGTTTGGTTCTCAATGAAAAATATGTACAGTGATAATAAATACATCAAGCATGACAGGAAAACCTGTATCAATTGTGGTACATTTGTCGCGAAGTGAATAAATATACAAAATACAGTCAAACACTGTTGTACTCGAAGTATCAACGTACGCCCCTTTAACCTGTACACAACGGTATTTGACTGTATATTAAATCGTTCTTCAAGTATTAACACTGATGACAATATGCATGAAGCAGATAATCCTCTATTTATACGTTGTGTTTGTCTATTATCCAAAGCCGCAACTTTACAGCAATATTACAGTGGGATGAAGGTAATCGGATCAGACAGGCTAGGCTGTTGGAGTACGATATGAACGCTCGCAGATGAACAACCTGACCACCGATCTTTCTTGGTCATCTCATACAGGTCTAAGTTGTTGCCCACAGGGATATTATTTAGGTGTGGTTGATGCGACATACACATGGCTTCAAAACCTACCATTTCCCAGTTCAATCCCTGCAAAAGTGTATCCTTTGTCAGAGGAATACTTGAGCAACTGCTTAGCATTTGATGGGTTCCACTTAGTTCCATCGCGGAGCATCAGGTTGAGACCAATCACCAGTTTTAGCCCAATCTTGTGAACATACATGTTGAGATCATCCCAGGTGTTTACTGAAAATATGTGTTTCTCAATTTGCGTATGTTCTAAAAATACGTTGTTCACGTTCATAAGTTTCAATAATGAGTCAGGCATACTTGCTCATATCTGAATCTTAAAGAGTGACGGATGGAATAAGATTATGTAAATAAAGAAATACATCAGTCACATGGTTATTTGATACAGTGTCAACCAGCAACCTCGGCAAAGTTCTCTGTCAAGCAATGTCCGGATTAACTAATTGTGGGAACAAAGTACTGTTCCTTTCTATACATGTGAGCATCTTCAGCTGCGATGTTCGGAAAACGCGATTTCAATATTACCACGGTCCGCACAAATTAGGTTTCAATGTACAGCAAAATATATAACTTTTATTGTAAGTCAGATGTCCCTACAGGTATAATTCAATCCAACCTTCAGAACCCACTGTGCATAAAACTTCGGTCAAATTTCCATTTGTACAGAGAAAACCAACAGCTGTGGTAGTTTGATAGAATGACCAAAAAGCTTATTCAAAATGAATCGACTCTTGTTGGAGATTGATTATATATTTAGTTGGTATCAGGTAGCCCGGTGTAGCCATTATGGCCTCTGTAGTACCTTTGGGAAGTAGAGTGAAAGTCATTTTTATAAGCTTTTTTTCTAGGAAGATATAACGATTTTATACAGCTATCACCTGGGAGTTGGAACTGCTACCCAGTGGCTATATTGTGAGTCGGGTCAAACACCATGGCGTCCACTGATGAGCCTCCGATTCTCAGATACCCCGGTGCTAAAGCTTTTCCTAGAGCCAGCAGTTTTGGAGAGCTGTTAAAACAGGGAAGTTCTTGAAAATATACTGATGTTCAAATTATAGTGCCTTAGTGAGTTATATTTTATGCGTCTTTAAGCAATACTCTTGCAACATCACGACGGGGACACCAGAAATAAGTTTCACACATGGTACCCATGTTTCGAAACAAACCGGGACCTTCAGCATGACTCTTTAACTTACCACCAGCCTACCCGACAGCCCGGTCAAATAAGAAGCTGTAAATATCGTGAAGAAACAATTGCTATACCGATAATAGCATCCGTAGCTTTGCTATGGCACTAGACACCGATGAGTAAGTACATACTTTAGTGTATAACCAGTCTACTTTGATACATCACTTTTACCCATTACTTATGTCGCATGCATGATGGCTATCTCAACGCCATGTACAGTAGAATACGCTTATAACGAACTCACGGATATTACGAACATAATTTTTGGTCCCCAGCGTTTACTGCCTAGATGTATGTATGTTTTTAACGAAAGACGGTTATAACGAACTTAAAGTTGTGGTCCATTTGAGTTTGTTATAACTGTAGGTTACGGTATCCTGAATCGGGCTCCGAACAAACATGTGACAGTGAAATGGTCCAGGTTCTTCTACGAGATTAGGCATTTTCTGGGCTGGATAAGCTAGGATACTGATTACAATGTTTGGTGTATGTGTTGTGTTCTACGCGAACATTGCAACAATTGTTCGACCGTTTTGCTATATCATGAAAATAACTAAATATATATAAGGTGTCAGCTTGATGTGGAATGGATACTCTTTCAAACATAAAGCTACAGAGTGACAAAAATATATCCACAAGACTTCAACTGTCCAGCCAACAACTTGTCCTACATTTCGAGCAATATTCCAACAACTTCAGCCTTCGGTATCGACTTTTCTCAACTTTAGAGGTACAATCCCAGATTTCACCCATATTTTAAAGAGCGTCATTGGATTCAAAATTTGTTCTATTCGTTCAATGTTGCAACATTCAAGACCTAAGTTTGTTGGTTTGTTGTTGTTTGTAACGCCGCACACACCAATATTCCAGCTGTATGACAGGGGCCTCTGAATAATCGAGTCTAGACCAGACAAGCCAGTGACCGACATCATGAGCATCGATCTACTAAATTGGGTTAAGATGGCATGCATCAAACCAAGTCAGCGAGCCTGACAACCCGATCCCGTTAGTCACCTCTTACGACAAGCATAGTCGGCTTTTATGGCAAGCAATGATTGCTGAAGATCCATTCTACCCTAATCTTCACGGGTCAAAGGTCTCAAAACGTTTTATGGAAGACGTGTGGAGGACATTTCAAACTTTTGACGCATCAGTAACAAAAACTTCGCTATTTTGACATATGTCCCCGTGTTTTTCAGGGAAACAACTGACTTGACTTTGCATGTGTTTGTGACGGGTGCCACCGATGGGGCAGGGTACGCTCACCTTCTTGCGAACACCTTGTATCATCACCATCTGATATTGACTCTTAAACACATACTCATGATATAGCCGGAATCGTAAAATCGAGATTATTGGTGGCTATGGAAACGGTTTATTGCTTTATGTATTCCGATGATCCTAAAAAGTGCATTCTCTGTTTATTTTCGTTCCAACCGACCAACCAGGATCCGCGAACACGCCCGTAAACCACGTTACATACTTCATGCAACAAACCGATCAGACGTAGTTGTACATATGTTATGTGTACCTGACATTGTGATACTTCAGATTGGACCTTAGTTGACTGCCGGCGATGGTGACGCCAACAAACATGTCATCAATTACCTGTAACACATGGTCAGTTTTTACCCTGATATGTTCTGTGTGCAGGGACGCAGTGAATTGCTGTATCCACGCCAATCCAATCAAACACAAGATGATCATATCCTGGAACATGCCGACTGTTACTTCATGTAGAAGTATATTATCTCTAATATCGGCCGAGGTGCTGGAAGACAGCAGGTGCTGCCAAGCCTTGACAACAGATAAGGAAAGTTGTGTATTTCGCAACCTGGAACAATTCTAATGAATATCTTGATAATGCTCAGACTATCTGTCAAGAATAGGGCGTGTGTGTATCTCTTTTGGTATCTAGTCTTAGCTTTATCACGCACTTTTGGAACTGAGTAAATTAGGGCTATACTACATGTTGAATATTCTGGAATTATATAGACACATCCCTTGTCGTTAATCTCATAGACTCACACCTTACACAGACGAGACCAAGGCGAAATTAATACAAACTTAGTAATTTACTCTCAACGTTTCATTTCACCAAGACCAGCTTTCGTGTGATGAGCACTCATCACATCTCTTGACCACTGTCGCTGCTGGGTGGATATATTATTATCACTGAGTTTTGTTATCGTCACTCTGTTTTGGTATTTGATACTGACCAATGCCATCATATTATATACTGTCACTGAATAGTGTACCACCACTCTATGGTATACTGCCATTGTAACTGCTTTGCAGTAATTTGTAAACCTAGTTAATTTTGTAATACATTTGTTGACTGTATACTACTTGTTGGTTGTTTGTTGGTTTCACACTTTTACGTACAGATTCTGGGTCAACAAACTGTTTCAGTTTGGGAATCAACGCTTAACAATATGTTGCGGCGAAACTATTTGAGAATATGCCACGACTGTGCAGGAAGAATGTAGTCCAAGATTATAGCAACATTGACACTTCCTAACAAGCGAAAAAGAAACAGTGCTTGAAAGAAAAAACGCACAGTGACATTGATTAATTCCATGGTAATTACTGAAGTAATAATGTACTTGTTGAAAGAAAGTAATTCAATTACATATTGACCTACAACTTCAACAGCCAGGTAATTATGATGTACCGTTTGGACAAATGGTTTGTTTCTTTGCTTAGGAAATAAATAAAATCGTTTGTAATTATAAATATGTGAATGTGAAAATGGAGTTACAATACACCATATTCTCAAACTATCTTCAGTAATGATGTTTTCTTCAATTCTGTGTGTCTTTGAGCAAGCGCAGAGACTGCAGCATCAACCTTCTGTTGTGTCAAGGCCAGCCTCTTCTGTTCCAGAGCCAAAGGATTCCCGACATGGGTACACAATGTGTGAAGCCCATTTCTGGTGTCCCCCGCCGTGATATTGCTGGAATATTTCTAAAACCATACTCACTCACTAACTCACTCACTCACTCACTCACTCCGGAGCCAAAGACCTGCCGCCCTTGCCACGTCATCGATCTGACATCCGTCTTGCCTTGTCCTACCCGCAGACTTCAAGTAATGATGATTTTCCCTGCATTACGTGTGTCCCAGTCGTCTGAGGCGTCGCAAGTCGCTGTGCAGAGTTGCGTCCCTTGGGCACGCCAGAAACCTATGATTGTTGGTTCGAATCCCGGTTCGCCCCGATTATGTTTCATGCTCGTGGGTTTTACCGAAGTGGTAAACGTCTAACCTGCATCATTTAGGGCTTTCCTCCCACATTAAGCTGACACGGCGTGATTATAAGTTGAATAATGTAAAAACCGGCGTTCAACTAACTCACTCCTCCAGATGATGATATTTGCAACCAATATTAACCGCATAAGGTCCTCCAAATATCTGTGTTAATAAATATATTTTTACACATTAATTTGACTCAGTATTTGTTTCGCTTAATACATATTCGTTTAATAACGTGCCAGAGACTGCATCCTTTGGCTTCTTTAAATATAATTTTTAATTACATGTGATAAAAGGTTAAATGTTTCTTATTTAATGATACAGATTTTGGAATCAATACATGTTTTTTTCATAGATTTATTAAGACCTGCGTATTCTCAGAAAATTTATTTTAAAGTATATTCCTTTCCTTTCCTAGTCATTTCTTTAATGTAACTTATGTACGTCAACTTTTGTCAGATCATTTATATTTGCGTTTAAGTAGTGTTTGCATATTATTGCTTCATGTCCAATCAGGATATCTTCCTTTCCCTATATATACAGTTTTGGTAATTCTGCGTTGTAGTTTGTTTGCCGCGACTGTGCTTTAGACCATGATTCATAGACATCTTTCCAAAAATAATTTTTGATATTAGGTGAGACATTTTTGCTTAAATATTTAGATCCCATTTCTGTTGGATACAAGTTGTATGATAGGTTTATTAGCTCAATGAGTGTGCAAAGTTTTTTTTATTTTTGTAAAGGTTCTTCATATCCAAGATACCTTTCAGCTTGTATTGTTTCTAATATAAGTGGTACCTTCACTTCTCCATATTCATATGTTTGAATAATAGTGGTACGTTTTATCTTCTCAGGTTGGCCTTCCAAATACATTTTATGTTTTTGGTTCATATTAGTAATAGTGTTGTAAAACGATGATTTAGAGGGTTAAGCTAATGATTGTGACTTATGCGAACAGTTATTCTAACAAAAGGGGGAGTTGGGACCACAGTGTCTATATTCATTTTTTTGATAATTGGCAAAGTAGAAGAAATCAAAGGAAGGTTCTACAAACCTCTATTCAACTGAATCAAAAGCTTTTTCGAAATCAATCAATATGGTATATTCTTGCATTCTGTATTATCCATAATTGCGTATACAAATCTGGAGTATTGATCGATGTATGTATCTTCCTTTCATAAAAACGCTTTATATAACTGCAATAATGATAAAAGCGGCGCTAAACCCAACTCACACACTCCTTTCATAAAACCTTTTTGATCGTCACTACTTATATAATGAAGGTCGAAGTATTATTTTATGCGTGGTGCTATTGCTGCTGATACTATCTTATAAGGCAAGTTCAGGGGGGATATAGGGTGGTATTTTTCATTTACTCTCTTGATTGATCTTTCTAAGGTATACATGCTAGGAATTTGTTAATATTTTTCAACATTGTTTTTGAAGAATTCTGCCGTGAATCCGGATGGGCCGGAACTTTTGTAATTTTTCATTTCTTTCAAAGTCCGAAGCACTTGTTTGAACATATCTTCTAAATAAACATCTGTTGTGTCTTTAGTTGTTTATAAACTGTGCTTCATTTGTTTATGAACTGTGTGATGGTATTTCTGAACATGATCAATAATATCTTTGACATCTGTGAAAAGTTTATTATTGCTTTCAAGTTTAGTAATACCCTCATTAAGGAACTTTTGTTTTTCAAATGATAGAAAGACTTAGCATTTCTCCTGCCAATTTGCATTAGCTCTCACTATAATTCCGTCAGTTTTAATTTTATGTTCCATTTGTTATTATATTTTTTTCAATCTCTTCTGGATTTTTCTGTCTTCGTCATTTTCCTCATCTCTTTCAAACTTTCACATTAGTTTCTTTTTCTTCATTAATTTTATCCCATTTTTTTATTTGTGAGTATTTTATCGTGCATCCTCATACATTGCATAGCAAAGCTTCCTAAAATAGTTTTTTTTTTTGATAGTTAGATGTTTTTCACCATTATTTCTTATTTTGTAGTATTGTTTAACTGTTTGACATATATTACATACTCTGGATCGTAGGGCAGACTATTATTGAATTTCCAAAAGGCTTTCCCCCTTTCAAGATTATATATATATATATACCACTGAATGATCTGTGCGGTAACCCGTTGTCATGTCAGTTGAAACAATTAATTTGTCAAGACTTCTACTCACTAGGAAGACGTCTGGCTTGTTTTAATGTTGTTGTTTTTTGTTTTGACCAAATATACACATGCACAAAAGTTAAGCGCCACCATATTCGTAGTCTCTGGATTTCACGTGTGGAAATCAGAAATCAGAAATACGCCTCTTCAGATATATGACTGAATAAGGCTTCCATAGTTTTATGAACCCAAATTTGTCCAGATACCACATGGAAAGCGTGCTTAACGTGTTGCTGCAGTTCCCCTACCCTGTAAATAGTGAAATTCAAGTTTCAGACACGTGTTTGCATTTTGCCCCTGTGTGAGATTCCCCTTCCAATAGAGGTTGAAAATCAGCCATGGCGAGGAGAAAGGTAACGAACGCTGAAAGATGGGAAGTGATAGGCATAAAAAATGCTGGCATGTCATGCAGGGCTATTGCAAGACAAATGGG